TTTGATGAACATTATGTTAGATGATATCTCTCATATTCATCTTTAGATATGAGGTCATTTTTTGAATTTTCTTACTCTTTACAAATGATATATTACCATAAATTTAATTAAAAACTTTATACACATGTAACAAATATTATACTATAAAATTTCTCTCCTATATTGTGTTATCATTAAAATCAAATTAAAGAGAGTTGTTCTTTAAACCATAGTTGATTCAACAATAGTGTACTGCCTAAAGCATCCGACTGAGGAAATAATATTGATGTAGTTTGGAGAGGTACTGTAAACAATACTTGTTTTTAGTGGATTATATCTTTGAATGTAAAGAGACAAATGTCTCTGAAAGTGGAAGACAAATGCAATAACATATTGTTATGAATCAGTATAAACTTATTTGTATATATTTCTTTCCCTATTATATTTTATCTTGTTTGTTCTTTATGTATTTTTTTTTTGTAGCTATGTGTTTTATTGGTTCATTTAAAAGAAAAAATTTCTTTGATAAAAAACAATTAAAACTTGTTTCGTTCATAAATCAGAAATGAATGCAGTTGGAAAACTGATGATCTCGAATAGTGACTACGATAGCGTGGGGTGGACTTGCATGGTTAGCACTCCAACACTCAAGTCAATTCAAGATTCAAGATGACTGTAGTGAAAAGTGGAGATCAGAGAATGCACCTTGTTTTTTTGCATGTAAACTAATTTTATACCTTGGGTCAAGTGGAGTGTATTTGAGATGGATTAAGCCTTAGTTATTTGGACACTTGTCCGACCAAGAATAATTTCCCCCCAGACTTTGTCGGGCACCAATATTTGAGCCCGTATGCCTCTATTTCTAATGTAGTTCCCCCGTACCAGCCCTTCTAGGAAGATCTGGGCCAAGCAACAAGGAAAAACTTAGGTCCGGTCTGAGGAGGGGCTTTCAACGGCCAGAGATTCTTTGGTATCCATATCAGGAGCCTTTGTACCAGATCCATGCCTGATGTTAACTATGAACTCATCATATCTTTGACGCCACCATAATGAGTATCTCATTAGTAGCAGGAAGTATTAATGACGTTAGATCAGAGAATGGATAGTGAATCCTCGACATTACCTTTGAGGATTCCTTCCTTATACTATTTCGTGGAGTTCTTAAGGGAACCGAAGATTTAAAATCTCGAATGGATGAAGCAGAAATGGTGATTGATGAGATCGATTGCGACAAATCCTTGCATTCGAATCTGAATGCTTTCGATTTGGTGATATGAGGAGGTTACTAATCAATAATCGAAGTTAGATATAAAATCGTGGGGATTCGGGTCTGGAACCCTATGTTCGCACGATGAAGTTGGAAATCGAACATAAATTTATGGAAATCGTACGAATCAAAAATCGTTTCCCACAGACGACACCATTGTTTTATTCAGGAATTAGAAATTGATGTAGTTGGAAAACTGATGATCTCGAACGGTGACTCTAATCTCCTTTACGGCGACGCCGGGTGAGCTTGCATGGTTAGCACCCTAACGCCCAAATCAGTTCAAGATTCAAGATGAAATTAGTGAAAAGTGGAGATCAGAGAATGTATCTTACTCTTTGCTTGTGAATTAATTTTATAGTCCCTCTAATCCTATTTATAAGAGAAAATTTATTTTTTAGATTAATGAAATAATCAATATATCTTGTCTATTGTACAATCTAGATACATTAATTATTCAATAAACTTAAATAATACATTCTCTTATAAATAAGATTAGATGGATTATCTTAATTCAAGTGGATGGATTGGTAATAGGTTGAACCTTAATTATTTGGGTCTTTAGCTAATCCAAAATAATATTATAATTGATATTAAAGTTTGATTATTATAATTGATATTAAAGTTTGATTATGTATCAGAAACACTTGACACTGTTAGAATAAATGTTATTTAACAGTAAGAAATCTTGATATTTGTTAGTTTGATTTCGCTTGTTCTTATATTTTTTCTTTTAAATAATTTCAATTTTATTTTTATAAGACACTAAGACCCAAAATATTTATTTTAAAATGTATATTAATATTTTATTTAATCATATATTAACAATATTTTTCTCTAATAACTTTTTAAAAGGTTTTTATTATCGTGTAACTTTATTTAAATGGCAGGTGAAAATATTTGATTCTACTTTTTGTTTGTATTTAATTTAGATGTTAATATTGTTTATAGTTATTTAATGTATTGTGGTATTTTATTTTATAAGATATCATTAATATAATAGATATAAAATTATATTTGCTTAAATGATTATTTGACCTTAGAAGTGTAATATTTATGTACATGTTACATTGCCGCCTGCCTCTTCTAATTTTATACATGTTACATGAATGTTACACTTTGAACCAAAATCACATAAAAAATCATGTAAACAAAAACATAAAATGTATTTGTAAGCTAAAATAGTCAATATTTTTACCAATCATTACTAAATATATATTACTTATGTATTAAATTGTTTCAAGATTATAAAGTTAACGCCAATACATTAAAAAATATTATATCGATTACAATCTAAAATGTATTAAAAGATATAACACCGCATAAATCTACTATTGATCTCTCCTCTGACTTTTTCTTATTTTATTCTCTTTCAATCTCGCTCAATTTGATGAACTATTCCATCATTTCTAGAAATTAATCCGGTCAAGTTTCCACCTCTTTTGTGGAATATTTCGTCCACTCCAATGCTATACTTGGTATAAGACACTATGATTTTAAAAAAACATCAACAAAATGTAGCAATTATGAAAGTCACCCAATACACATGATGCGTCTAGAGAGATCTTGATGTGGGCTACTCCGAAGTAGAAAAATATCTCTGAGAAATCATATCTTGTCAGAACAATACATACCATGTTATATGCACTAGCTATAAGATGATCCATTTCAAAGAAACACATACATTTTGACTCTGGTACGAGATCGCTAACACAAAGAATAAGAACATCGTGAATTGCATCAAAATGTTCTTTTCTCCCGTGTAATGATATGTAGAATTTCATATATGACGTCATCTCTTTCAAAAGTTGTTGGCAGACAAGTGATTCTCTTCACCTCTATTGAGCAAGTCGAATACAACCCAATAACCGCAATTACTATCACCCTTAACATTTACAATTCGCTCAATGTATTTGTGCATAAAAAGTGACATCTTTCTAAAAAAATGTGAATGAACTTATTTTAAAAATATCACTGAAAGGTTAAATAAATCAACTCAATTAAAAATGCAAAATAAATAAGATATAATTGTTTTTGAAAATTCATCTCCGAATACATCATAAATTTTTTTATAAATATATCTCCAAACCATTTTTTAACCAAACTTACAAAGAATGAGATAATCTAAAGTGCATCCTGAGATGCATCTACATACTACAATAATAGCAAATTCAAATTTTAATGATATGTACCGCACCCTAAAAATGGAAAAAGAAATTCCCAACAAAATTATGAAGTTCCAATAGCTATTATTATTTTTGGCTAGGGCTGGCAATGAACCAAACCAGCTCGAAGATAGTTCGGAATTCGACTCGACAATTAAATCGTTGAACTAGGTTCATGAACCAAATGAGTTGAGTATGAGCGAAAAATTAAGTTCGTTAACTAAATGAGCTGAACTTGAACTATACATAGTTCGACTCGTTAGGTTCATGAGTCAACTCGATTACATATGAAAAGAATTATACTGTCTTTAAGATTAGGTTTAAATATTTACTTCAAATCTTAGACAAATTTAATCTTCAATTTATTAGTTTTTGAATTAGACTCTCAAATGTATCTCTTGAAAGTTGTGTAGGTTTTGAATTAGTAGATTTCGAAGATAAAGTTAAATTTCAATATGATAACTTTTATTTTATTTTAATATTTTATTTAAAAAATATATATTTATTTAAAATGTCAAATATACTAAAAAATATATATATTTAAAAAAATAATTTTTAAGTTCGTGAACCATGTGAGCTGAACCTAATGAGATGAACCTAACGAGTCGAACCGAACTATTCGTGAACTTATAACGAGTCGAGTTTGAGCTTAAAAAAAAGTTCGTGTCGAACTCGAACTCGAACTCGAATTCGAACAATTCTTAACGAGTCGAGCCGAGCTGAGGTGAGTTCGACTCGACTCGACTCATTTCCAGCCCTATTTTTAGCCTTTGGAAACAATTTTTTAGAGAGTCTTTTAGGTTATTAGTATGAAGATAATCCTAACAAAGAGTAATATGTGATAGTACGTGAATTGTCCAAACGTTTTCACCATTTAATTTATTTTAAATTAAACAAACCTTGAACAGCATATGAACCTTTTTTCCCTCTTAAAGTATTCATTGTTACCCTAAATATTATTGACTTCAACTTTTTATATAAAAAAAATTCAAAATTCCAAAGTAATATCCAAATGACAAAATGTCGTGGTAAAGATATCCGTGATATTCAAAATTATGGTTTCAAATGCCATAGTTCTGAAAATAACCCTCGAATCCATTCATAGTTCGCTATCAAAAGACACATGTGCAAGTGCAATTGTTTTTTCAAAGGCAGTTTCTGTTGTGTTCTCAACAATCAAATTGGATGCTCTATCACGGCTTGTATTCACTAATGCCACAACGCAACAAAATCACTGATCAACTTGACTCCACAGAGAAATTTTGAACAATCTCATGTACTATCTCATCATTCATCTACCCGACAGCTATATAGTTTTCCAATATTCTCATCATTCATCTACCCGACCGCTATATATCTTGTACTATCTGTACCTTTACAAGTGAGTAATTCTGCATTTACAAACGTGACATGATTATAAGACTAAACAAATCAAATGGCACATCAATAACCTCAAACATAGAGAGATCCCTGATTATATTCATAGATATTAAGTGAAATTATGCCTAAACTTCTGTTATAACAAACTTGAGGAAATTCAAAATGTTAGTATCTTACTATCTTCCTGAATGATTGATCCCCCCTGGATATCAAGAGTGTAAACGGTATCCCAAGAAGACACAGATAAGGGCCACCATACAGACATATAGAAGTGGGAACCCGACTTGAACTTTTCTTGTTGGACCTTTATTAATAAGATCTGCCTGCAAATATAAAACGAGCCAGCCTTGAGTTTCTGAAATGAAAACTAAATTTTACTGGATCAATTGACACCCCTAAAGAGGACATTATAAAATTGCATATGTTCAAGCATGTAATGGGGAAGAATTCTTAAGTATCAAGCAATATTTGCATTAATCCAGACAAGCAAACAAAGGAATTGGCAATGTAAATATCAACATTGATCAACTTTGTCAGTGTACACAAATGTCAGGGTGGTTACCTCCCAAATCCCCTTCCTCTCTATTTCCTGCTGCAATTTAATTGTCATAGTGCATAAACTCCATGACAACTAGTGATTGTTTTATAACAAAAATAAGTAAAAAATAAATCCTAAAAAGACCAGATGCCTGACAGTAAAAATGTATTACTTGCTTATCTTTCTGTTCCCCTCACACACGGAGAATTTCAACGAAAAGTGAGGTGAAGAAGCTCATTTCAAATTATGCAGGAAACTATTATTCATAACCATTGTCAGATTATTTCAACTTTTCTTTTCCTATAAGTGCTTACTGAAAATTCATCCAAACTGGTAATATAGCAAGAACCAGTATGTAAATCCCACAAAAACATTATTTTTTACTTGATAACTAGACGGTAGTTCTCAAGCTTACTAGTTTTTCTTGCAAGATCTTTGTCTCTTGATTGCTTAACTGCCTCTCCTCTGTTAACTTTGATATTGTTGCTCCAGACTGCAAAGGAAGCGAAAACTCAATCAGCACTTCAATAAAATCAGTAGAGAATAGAATGAAAGTCGAAAACCTAACAAACATCAACCCCATTCTAACAAGGTTAGGAAACCAATATGCTCCGTTGCTTCATCACCAATGTTAAATACAAAGTATTGATGAACATTTTCACATAGGATAGAGCCTTTAGGGATGTTAGGTTAGGAGCTTTCAGATAATCATATGCCACAAAACAACATCACACCCCTATACGTTCAAAAATACATTCTTTGCTGGCTTCATTGCGGCCTTTTCTAATTCCAAACAATTCTGTATACAAATTATTTCAACTTTTCTTTTCCTATAAGTGCTTTGTCTTGGCTTCGTTGCGGCCTATTTATACTATCAATGTATAGGGAGTAGTTTATTAACATATATTAATTTAAGCAAGTGTGCCGAAAATATTACTGCAAGCGGGAATGGGTCTAACTAACATCTCAAATCTCAAAATTGAAAACATAAAGACCAAAAGGAGTGCCAAGACAAAGCATTAATTGCCAAAATCTCGATGTGGTAGCATGGATAGTTCATATAGTAATGTGTTTCAGCACGCAACTTGCTAGGAAACATGTCGCATATGCAACTGCAAGCAGATAAAATAAAATCATAGAATGGTGGAATGCCTGACCTCATTTAGCTTTGACTCAAGTCTGTCTAGTTTTAACTTCATCTCTTCAATGGCTTCAAGCAGTTTCAACTCCTCTATGCCCTTTGAAACTCTTAACTCTGATTCTTTTTCTGGCTTTAGTTCCCCAACATTCTTTACAGTCGTAATCATTGTATCCGTTGACACTTCTAACTCTCTTTCTTTTCTTGGCTTCACTGCCTCTGCATTGTTAACTGTGGTCAAATGATCTTTTGACACCCTAAACTCCACTTCTTTTCCTGGTTTCAGTTCTTCCGCATTCTTTACTCTGATTGGACCCAGATCTTTTGACTCCTTAATCTCTGCTTCTTTTCCAGGTTTCAGTTCTTCCGCATTCTTTACTCTGATTGGGCCCAGATCTTTTGACTCCTTCATCTCTGCTTCTTTTCCAGGTTTCAGTTCCTCTGTACTATTTACTGTGATTGAATCCAGATCTTTGGACACTTCTACCTCTTTTTTAATTTGCGGCTTCAATTCCTCTACATCCTTTGCTGGGTTCAACTCTTCATCTCTTGAAACTTTCAACCCTGCTTCTTCTCCTGGCTCCTCTACATTCTTTATAGCATCCAGCCCCATATCATATTCCACCTTCAACTCCGTATCCTCTTCACGCTCTACCTCGTGAACCTTATTATGCTCTGGTTTTTTAAGAACCTGACATATTTTAAGAACATCACAGAACATATGAATAGCATGCTTAATAAGTAGAAGTAGAAATAAAAGTTGGGATAGTCCAACATATGCACAAAGGCTACATCAGCTAGGATGACAGCGCCGGAAAAACAAGAGAGTTTATAACATGTTCAAAGAATGCTTCCCAGGGGACTAAAGAAAACATGCAAGAAAAATAATCTGCAATGCCATAACATCGTTATTTTCAAATTAAGAAAATCAGTAAAAATAATTGCCAAACCCTCAGAGTATGTGACTAAGACTTTCAGTTATTCTGAAGGATTTAAAATGTCTATGAGAGAAAAAGAGGTGGTGGAAAGAAAAGAACTGAGATCCAAACATCAATGAAGTTTCGTCTAACCATGGGTTCAGGCGACTGGATTTCAATTTCATCTTTACTATATATCTGAAATTTTCCGTGATCAAACCCATTCTTGGAGTCTCCATTAACAGGGCCCAGTTCTGGTGAATCAGGTGGGCTGATCAGAGCCACCTTCAGCTTATTTTCTTCTACGTATCTCACTCCGTCTTTGACAAACTTCCATTATAAAAAATTAAAAAGTCAGAATATTTAAAAATAAATAAACTAGTAACGAAGGCTACCGGAAACAAAATTACAGCCTAAGCAGTATATCCATACCAAGCTGGCAGTAACATCTTCGCTGGTTATATCAGCATCCACCAATGTGCTTTGAACTAAGAACTTGTCCTTGCACACCAAATCTTCAGGGGCTACCCGTTGGGCTTGCATTGTAACTGTTCAATGCGAAAGTTTAAAATAAACAAAAACAATTAGGGGGAAATCGTGGATTCATCTTCAAATGTTTTGTTTTCTTGAAAAACCAATACTCTGAAATAAGCTACTTTTTCTTTGAAACACTTCTGGCTACAATGATACATTAAGCTCAGATTACTACATTTAAAATTGGAAAATCAAAGCTAAGTAATCATTAAAAAAAAAACCTAACATGACAAATTCAAGTCCATTCCACGTGTATCCCAATATTTACCGCTACAATGACTAAACCTCGCTATCAAATTCTCAACAGAGCTTTTTTTTTAAAATCTTGGCAGGTATCTGGCCTTGCGACCAACTAATCCTAGGGGACCAATCCCACGGTCCACTAGCCGGGGGCATTTAAGGCGGGAGCAAAGGTCGAACCTGAGACCTTGAAAAAAGCACACCTCATAACCCAAACCTTCCCCACTAGGCCAACCCGTGGGGTTATTCTCAATAGAGAATTAATTAAGGATATGATTCAATTGCATCAGCCATCAAGGAATCAAAAACCTCTTTCTGATACAACCAAGGACAAAAAACCTAATTGAATCTTCCCATCATATTTTATAACATCCATTATAAACTATCTAACTCACAATCATAAAATAACAAATCAAAAAGAAAAATGACAAAGAAGAAGTTATATACCTACGAATTCACCACTAGATTTTGGCGCGAGAACTCCAACATTTGGCCGCACTGAATATTTCTTAGGCGACGTCGTTTTGACCTGAAAACACCATAACACCATACCAAAAGAATTAATCTCAATCAAAACACTATACCTAACAATAAACGGTGATAAACCAAAGAAAATCGAAAACAACAATACCTTAAAAGCGACATAGTGGTAAGTGTTATTCGTCACCTGAACTGAACAAGAACTCTGTTTCTTCAATTCAACTACAATGAAGAAAAATCGAATCATATCAGCAACGGATCACACACAAGCACATTACGAATTCAAAAGCATTCAAAAATTCACTTACATACGAATTTGAGTTCCCTCGGTTCAATTTCGAGAATCGGCGTTTTGTTCATGATTACACCAGAATCAACGGTTAAAACGACGGTGTTTCCGTGAATTCGCTAGATTCGAGGAAAAGAAGGGAACGAACGAGTCAACTCAAGTGAACTCGTAGTCAGAGATTTTATTTTATTTTGTTTTTGATTTCATGCACGATCATTAAGTGGCTATTGAATGAGAATAAGCGTGTGAATCGTGATCTTCTTTGAAATGGAAAGTGGAGTATATTCAGAGAGTGAGAGAGTTATTATTGAATTAATGAAGGAAAATAAATATAGAAGGGAAAGAAAATGCGGAAACGCTTTTTTATTTATTTAAAAGTGGTGTTAGTGTCTGAATAGTAATAATAAATAAATATAGATTTATGGTAAAATGTATTTTTCATTTTTGAAGTGAAGAGCACGTAGCATCTCAAGGGAAAGGGACTTGTATGGATGGGGTACCTTTTAACCGACACGGAGCCGGGTTGTTTGCTTCTTTTCGTGGCTCGGCGCGCCAGCGTTAACACAGCGCGGCGTCTTAACTGATCTTATTTTATAAATAAATTGTTGAATTATTTGTGAACTTGCCATCTCAATATAATTTGAATCATATGTGTGTATATCATATTGTTGGCATGAAATTTTCATATCATGTCTACAATACAAAAGATTTAGAAGAATTGAAGCAAAATGTTAGCATTTTGATAATGGAGATTCTTTGATTCAAGAATATCGAAATCTTTGTATTAGTTGAAAGTTATGGACTTAAAACAAATTTTAGAAGTTAATTTTTAAAAGGTTTGACAAGGATAGTTTGGAGTGAAGTGTTCTAATCTGATCATGTAATTATCTGAAGATTTTATCCATGTAAAGAAGATCCGTGGTGACATGATAATGAGATCGAAAGCAAGCAAATTCATATATTTATATAAATAAAAAATTTAGTATTAGGATTTAGGGTGACATTTTCATTATACAAACATTAAACACTCAAAGTACCCGAGCGTTAAGAGAGAAACGAGTCACTAAGAAAACGAATGATTTTGCCAATCACCATTTATGTATTTGATGCAATTTCTTATGTTTTTATTCTTAAGTTTTATTTACCCAACAAGTTATTTACTTTTCGTCCTCACTTTTTTGAAATTTTTTTAACTTTGTTGAAGTCCATTTGTTTCTTTATTTTTCACAGGTTCAACTTTTATCTTTCCGCAAATTCAGAAATTTTTTTACAACATCAACACAATCAAATGTCTTTAATAGAGAAGTTAAGTACCATGTCCTAGGATTCACTAGTCGATCCTTCAAGTATACTTTTTTTTAAAGAGACTAGCATTTGTTTATCAAATTTAAGGGTAAACAAATTGACACGCCAAGTGAGACATCATGTTAAAACCTTTTTCTATTTTAGATATTGTAGTTTTCTTTTACAAATCGTTATACGTACATGAAATGTTTTGTATATTTGCATGCGTTTAAGGAGTGAAAAAGCTTTACCAAAAATGATGCGTCCTTCTATAGATAATCCTAGTTCATAGAATAATCCTCAAAATGTAATAGAAGAACTCGTCGAATCAACAGTTAAATAGGAAGTTGTTTCAACGCCTATTAGAGCAACCGCTCATGTGGTGTCATCAACGCCAATTGCGTCGATACCGATGCAAGGGGTTATTCCCCCACCACATTTAGGAAGTCTCCCATTTAACCCTATCGTCGCAAGACCAACTTTGGGAGATCCTAGGATGTCATTCCTTCCAAGTTTTATGCTCCATATAGGCAATAAAGAATACCCATATGGTATACCAACAACAGTGATGGCAGGCCTCCAGTCCAATGCGTCGGCTTATTCAAATAGTGTAATGGCAATAATGCCACCCTATAATCCATGCCCTGCCTTAGGTTCGAAGGTGAATAATCCCAGTCAAACAATTCCTATACCAGGAGGATCAAACTATGTTCCCCAAACAACGTCGACATTGAATACGACATCTCTTATGTCGATGAGGCAGCAAATGGACGAAAGTAACCACAAAATGGTTAATATGTTGACCCAATATATAGACACAACGTTTAATCCCTTGATACAAAACGCCAACCAAAATTATGAATTGTTAGGAAATCAAATAGGTTAAATAGCTAATTTCTTTGGTGCCCCTTAGGTCAAAGCGAGACCAACTCCTCAAATCTCAAATGTTAGGCAAGTTGAAACGCCTGACAATGGACAAGCCTCTGTTAACCAAAGACAACAACAAGGAGGACTTCGACATATAAAACCTCCCATACAAAGAAATGATGAGGAATATATAAGCCAAAATAACCCAAGGCCCATAATAGTGAATCGAAACCAAGACGCGGGCCAAATACTTAGAAATGTCCAACAAAATAACTTTGCAGGACAAAACAATATAGCAAATATGGTCGAACAAATACTTGTCTAAAATGGCCTAAATGTTGGCCTCCACAGACCAAACTTTTTGTCGTTTTTGTCAAAATGTGTTCGACTAACAAAACTTCCCAAGGGATGGAAAGTCCTCAAATTCACCAAATTTGTTGGTGAAACGAGTGAGTCTACAGTCGTACATGCAACTAGATACCAACATGAGACAGGCAAAATAGCCAATAATGAGACTTTGAAAATGAAGTATTTTCAAAATTTTATAACAAATAATGCCTTCGCATGGCTCACACACTCCCTTATTGTTCAATACATACTTTGAGTCAGTTAGAAAGGGTGTTCCATGAATACATTTATATGGGTCAATCCAAAATTAGTCTTAAGGAACTAGCTAGTGTTAGGCAAAATATTTCTGAGTCAATATATGATTACTTTAACATGTTTAGACTTCTTAAAGCAAGTGCTTTACATAAGTCCTTGAGCATGAGTTGGTCGAAATAGATGCTGGTGGTTTAGATTATTCCATTAGGAAGAAATTAGACACTAAACGCTTAAGGAAACTGGCCTAATTGGCAGATAGAGTTCGCCAACTTAAGCGTTTGAAAGTTGACAGGGCTAAGTCTAGTAAGTATAATAAGAAAGAAAAGATTATCTATGTAGAAACAGGCGGTTTTTTAGAGTCTAACTCATTCGATGAATATGTTGAAGAAAGTGAGGTCCATGTGGCTGAATTAAAGTCAAGGCCTCCTTATGTTTGCAAGATGTTAAAACCGTTGAATGGGAAATATCCCGTCGAACCCAGTAAAAATGAGAATTTCGTAACTAATTTTGGGTCATAAAACCTCACAATGTGTGTTTTTCAGAGATTTGGTACATAAAGCACTCATGGAGGGCAGACTTCAGTTTGGTGAGAAGCCTAAAACCTCCATGCAAGTGGACTTTGATACCCTTCAAATCGAAGCAGTGAACTTTGTTGAACCCGTCGAAATCATGATGGTCGAAGTTACTGATGGCCTAGACATGTAGGTCAAATAGGTGGAGTAGGAAATTGAAGAAGGTGTGGTCGAAAAGATGAAGGCGATATTCCCCAAAGCTGAAATGGAACTTGTTGACTTTCTGAATCACTGTAAATTGAACAGCTCAAAGGTTATATTATGCCCCAGATGTAGTGTCGTCTTCGATGAAAAAGTTGCGAAGGAAGTTAAAACTTCCATACTTTTTGACCCAAAGAGGAGTAACAAAGGTGGATTGTCGTCAAGATTCATTTTTTTATGAAAGAGGAGTTCCACATAGGAACCAAAACTTCCCAAGGAATTCTAGAAGTCATAAGAAGACTTGTGTTTCCCAACCAATGCACCAAAGGGAGAATGGGTGCAAACTATGAGCCAAAGAGCTCAAAACCAACAAAAATAGAAAGTGGTGGACATGGTAATATGATATTCTTACAACAAAAATTCCCATGTGTCAAAGAAGTATTCATATGCTTCCCATAATTATAAGGGGAAACATCAGATGATGATGGCACAACGACATTGACTTCAGAGAAACAAGAAGGATGCTTATGAGGCCTCCAGAACCAACATTGATAATAAAGCATCTGCACAGAAGGCTAACAAAGTGTCCAAAAATCCTGTTAAGCAAAGACTATCTCCAACTGCAACACCCCTAGAGAAAAAGTGTGTTGATCCCATAACGCAACCAAATGAAAAAAAATTGTGATAGAAAACTTTGATACGTGGTTAGAAGATGACCTTGAAATTAGTTATAACATTGTCTCGGTGTTACCTAGAGAATTTGATCAAGTCTCAGAAATTTGAGATTGAAGAGGATGCTATAATATAAGAGACAGAAAATCAGAAGTTGATATGCTACTACTTAACGAATAATGATGTTGTCGAGGAACAACACTCCATCTTTGAAAGACCAGATGTTGGTATAATATACCATTTGAAGCCCTTATTCATAAGGGCAAAGGTAAATAGTTTTGGAGTCAGCAAGGTGTTCATTGATGGAGGAGCAATAGTGAACTTAATACCTCATTCCCTTTTGAAGAAAATAGGGAAGTTCAACACTGATCTTCGACCATGGTGTTGTTGAACTACAAAGGAAAGATGAGCCACATTCTATGTGTGGTTCAAGTTAACCTCATAGTTGGTACGCTTACTAGACCAACTCTTTTTATGGTGATTTCGTCTAAAGCTAATTATAATTTATTGTTCGGACAAGAGTGGATCCACGACATTGGAGTGGTTCCTTCGATCCTTCATCAAAAGATTTCCATTTGGCGCCCTAATGACATTGTGGAAAACATTGAAATAGATTAGAGTTTTTATATGGATAATGTAAGCCATATTGATAAAAGGAATTTCAATAGAAACCTAGCAAAGACCCCACCTTGTTACCTAGTGGAGACTGAATTTACTCCTCACACGGATGCACTGCCTTTCCTAAACTTGCATCCCACTCATGGTTTCATATGGAACCATGAGATGATGGAAGATCAGGTGGTCAAGGAAGGAGGCGTTACACCCACTGGATGGACGATGATACAAATAAAGATGAGTGAGTCGAGCATATTTTCTCGAATTTCGACCTATATGATTGAAAAGAGATTGAAAGTAGCCTTTGAGACTGATAC